GGGGGCTCATTTCTGCATATCGGACGAGTGTTCGCCTCGTTTAATCAAAATCCTGTACCAAACTGTGCACATACGAAATCCTGAGATGATTATTTGTCGTCAGAACGCAAACCATTCCAAGACATATTCGAGGGCCACTAGAAGTATGTATATAATTTTATTTTATTCGTTAACTTTTATGATATTTCGGATATCACGATCAAAAATCCACTTTTCGTTCGGCGAATTATGACGGCCTGTTCTAGAAACTGGCAGATCGGTGACCTTGAGAAAAACTCGTCTGCCGACGTACGTTTTTTTGGAAGTGAGTGTAAGCCACTCGGGCCATGGTCTCCGTTATGCAGTGTGGCATCCCCCCCCCCTTCCTCTTGGTATGCTGCTAGTGGAGGTCGGATGTATCTTCCTAACCCTTTATATTTCTGATTACAAGCTGGCAAATTTTCAGAATTCCGTCGACCATTTTTTCAGTAACTCGACTTTCCTTTGTAACTTCGGACGTAGAAAGAAAGAGTTGATAAACGATGGAAAAAACGTGATCAGGCACTGGACATGCACGGTAACAAAAAGCCATGTTTGAAACAAACTGAAGGAAACAAAACTCTTATTTAAAAAGCATATACAACAAAATTAACAAACAAAAAAAACTGTGCATACAACACATTAATTTAAGAGCTCTTTAAAAATCAACAAAATATTCAAAACACTTCTAGATTAGGGCACCAAAAATTACAAAGTATTATGCTATCCCACATTTTTAACCGTAGCAAATGCGCAGGAATATCATACATAAATCAATCAACCAACCAACTCATATTGCATTATAAACAATTAATGACTCGTGGGTCAATATTCCATAAACTCATTCGTGAGAAGCCAACAAGACAGTTATAAAATTAAAATATTAATACACGAGAACGTCTTTTTCTAGCAGTGCCCTAATCTCATTACATTCAACTAAGGATGACGGAAAACAAACAAAATAAATTAGGATTGGATAAATATTGCCAAGCATAAAAAAACAGGTGACTATCTGCTCCAATCAAGACTGGACCACCAAACAAACACCCAATGGCACAGATCTAGTGACGGGCAACATAAAATAATCGCTGTTAGCAGTCAAGGCAGAAGAATGATTCTCAGCGAGTAGACATTGTGATGTTAACGTGTTGGAATCGCTTTGATTGGTCAGTATAGGAAAAAAAAAAAATTTAAGGCAATGTTTTAAAAAAGATTTTGTTAAGAAAACACCCGTACACAAAATAATGAATCCAGGAAAACTAAACGAAAATCCTTCCTCTTCGCTTGAATACCAACAGCTTGCGTAATACTTAAAAATTAAAAAAAAAATGCTGGCCGTATCATACAATACACCATTCTGTAGCTTTTACGTACGATTAATCAACTTGAAATGTAAATGTCAGGCTTAATAACAAACAAACAAACAAACAAAAAAAATGCATGCAAATCTTCATAACAGAAGACTGCGTGTCCGTATCTTAAACTAGGCAGCTTCATATAAAACAGAAACAGGGCGAAATGTACACCGATGATGATAGCAAGCAGGTGCTAGCACCAGGTGTGGCGACTGCCCCCTTCCTACCACAACTTAAATACGCAATAACAAAGAGGAAAATAATGTAACTGTAATAATAATGAACAAAATGTATATTATATAATTCCAATGGTCATGTTCAGTGCCTGTCCTATCGCGTTGTATCAGCTATTGATGATAACTTCCGAAATGACTAGGCTTTGTTTGATCTCAGAACGTCTTACGAGTCTCCGTTCGAGGGCAGGAAAAACAAAGGAAAGTCACTACACATGCCACGAATTAAGCAGGAGGCGATTTACCTCCTTTCCTTAGACTGGAGGTGTATGAAATCTTTGGGGGTTCCTCGTATATAAAAGAGTTATTTTTGTTTTCCTACCATATTAACCTAACTACAAGTACAATGTCACAAAACAGCACAAAAAACACGTATAGTAAAATAGAGCTTATTATGAAACAGGTGCGTAAATTTGAGAACTACACAACATAGCCCAGGCACCGTTATGTTTTTTTCTTAATGTTGTAAATTCCCTGTTTGGTTTTTTTTTCTTATCTTTTAGTGGTTTGATCAAATATTGGTCAAAACAATCTAAGCACTGTACTTTATTCCTTCGCGATTAATACTACTAAAACCAGCGCGGCCAATTCACAAATCGTTCCACCGCTACCGAGAACGGAATTCACAGTATTTAGAACATCTTATTTTTCTTTTTCATGCAACTGAGTTATCTCACGAGATTCAACATGATGAAATACAATACAAAACTATTTCTATCGCATTTATAATTATCATCAGGGGGGGGCGGGGAAGATGTAATTAGCTATCAGAAGATTATACAGAACAACAGCGTCTAACTTAGCACACCACTCCTCCAAAAATGCAAAAAACGATTACTTGGGAATGGATGCTTCATTTTTTTAGTCTGCTGGCCGTATCATACAATACACCATTCTGTAGCTTTTACGTACGATTAATCAACTTGAAATGTAAATGTCAGGCTTAATAACAAACAAACAAACAAACAAAAAAAATGCATGCAAATCTTCATAACAGAAGACTGCGTGTCCGTATCTTAAACTAGGCAGCTTCATATAAAACAGAAACAGGGCGAAATGTACACCGATGATGATAGCAAGCAGGTGCTAGCACCAGGTGTGGCGACTGCCCCCTTCCTACCACAACTTAAATACGCAATAACAAAGAGGAAAATAATGTAACTGTAATAATAATGAACAAAATGTATATTATATAATTCCAATGGTCATGTTCAGTGCCTGTCCTATCGCGTTGTATCAGCTATTGATGATAACTTCCGAAATGACTAGGCTTTGTTTGATCTCAGAACGTCTTACGAGTCTCCGTTCGAGGGCAGGAAAAACAAAGGAAAGTCACTACACATGCCACGAATTAAGCAGGAGGCGATTTACCTCCTTTCCTTAGACTGGAGGTGTATGAAATCTTTGGGGGTTCCTCGTATATAAAAGAGTTATTTTTGTTTTCCTACCATATTAACCTAACTACAAGTACAATGTCACAAAACAGCACAAAAAACACGTATAGTAAAATAGAGCTTATTATGAAACAGGTGCGTAAATTTGAGAACTACACAACATAGCCCAGGCACCGTTATGTTTTTTTCTTAATGTTGTAAATTCCCTGTTTGGTTTTTTTTTCTTATCTTTTAGTGGTTTGATCAAATATTGGTCAAAACAATCTAAGCACTGTACTTTATTCCTTCGCGATTAATACTACTAAAACCAGCGCGGCCAATTCACAAATCGTTCCACCGCTACCGAGAACGGAATTCACAGTATTTAGAACATCTTATTTTTCTTTTTCATGCAACTGAGTTATCTCACGAGATTCAACATGATGAAATACAATACAAAACTATTTCTATCGCATTTATAATTATCATCAGGGGGGGGCGGGGAAGATGTAATTAGCTATCAGAAGATTATACAGAACAACAGCGTCTAACTTAGCACACCACTCCTCCAAAAATGCAAAAAACGATTACTTGGGAATGGATGCTTCATTTTTTTAGTCTCTTGCATTAATTACTGTATTTTTTTTTTAAGTAAACAACGCATAATCAGTCTACTTTATAAGAGAGATCCTACAATCTGCCGCGTGTCTTTAACACCACAGGCAGACACGACACATTTCAGCTCCAAGTTTTTTTAAAGTTAGGAGGAGAGGGGATATGTCTTCATTAATTACAACAATAATAATAATAGTAATAATAATAATAATAATAATAATAATAACATGCGCTATCCCACTCATCAAAACCTCGAGTCACGAGAGTGATGACGTTTTCCGAGGGGCAGTGCAGTAATGGAAAACGAGTTTTGTTCTCATGCAGAAGGCAGTGTCATTGACTGCAGATAACAAGAAAGTGCTTATCCTCTGATCCCCCATCAATCAATGATCATTTCTGGCACATGAATTAGCAAATACAATGGAATTCTTCAAACACCGACGAAGTGAGCAAAAATATTAATGATGGTTACCTCTCGACTCTTCGCTCTTAGAGACCGATTGGGGGTACCTGGACATATCGGTAGATGTAGAGACGATAGTCTTTACTTGCGAGGACGACCGATCCGTCATCCATGAGCGCTACGTCGAAACACTGCGCATGCTTAACCTTCGACTCCAAGGCAGACACCAGCTGTCCGTCCTGCGTGAAGATAGTTAGGTTGAAGTTGTTGTGATTGTCGGCGATCAGGATCTCACCCGCGGTGTTGATACCGACGCCGATAGGGTAGTTTGTGATGCCCTCGCCGCCGATCTGACGAAGATATATTCCATCGTAGTTGAACACCTTCACACAGTGCGCTCTGTTGTCGCTTATGAATATCTCCTGCTTGTCGTTCACCACGACTCCGTTCGGAAACTCGAGGTGCTTGGAACAACCGAATTTCTGGAGAACGTTGCCGGACTGGTCGAATATTATGACGCGCATTACCTTGCATTCGACGACAACTACTCGTCCCTTGTTGTCGACGGTAACCCCGCGAGGATGTTGCAAAATATTGGCCCCAAACTTGCGAACGAACTGACCGTACTGGTTGTAGATCTGAATCTGGTGTGTCGGAGATCGCTCTGTCACGATGATGTCGCCCGAAGTTCGAACAACAGCCACGCGGTTGGGGTACAGCAGCTGACCATCTCGCTTTCCACACTCCCCAAACTGAAACTTGAATCGACCTTCTTTGTCGAATATCTGTATGCGGTGGTTGTTGGTGTCTGCGACAATTATGTCGTTCTGGGCGTTCACGGCGACTCCACTAGGTTCCGTGAACTGACCCTCCATCACGCCGAATTCGCCAAATTTGCAATGATAGATCATCTTCTGGCGTTTTATTTGTGATTTAGGAGGGAAAATGGCAGTCGACATGAGTTTGGAAGTGAGGTCAAGCATTGAGTCGCCCGGTCCTCCAGAGGGCAGTGAGTAGTGGTCTCCACCACCATTCTGGAAGATACTGTCGCTTCCGCCATTAGACCACTTCTCGTACGGATTCATACCGTTCAAATTCAGATCACTGATGCTCGTAGAAAAAGGCCCCAAGCTGTTGGCAGTGCTGAACCTCTTGGAGATTATGTTCGACTCGAACGGAGATGCAGACGAGCTGGACGAAGACACGAGGCCATTGGAGTACGGTCGATCCAACACGCCGTTCAGACTGCCACCACTGAGGCCACTTCCACCGTTGACAGCGCCGTGAACGCCCGCCCCGTTCAGGCTCCCTGAATTACCGTTCAGAGTAGTGCCACCGTTCAAATGAGCGGAACCGTTCACTGGCCGGGCAATGGGCGGCTGTTTGCTAGGCCCCGCCGACAACTCAGAGCTAGAACGAACGTACCCAAACGTGTTACGCACTCCAACCTGTATTGCCTGATAATTGGATACAAATTCCAGGTCGCATCCAGACTGCAAGCTCAAGTCCGGATTATAGTTCATAAAGGCCTGGAATTTTGAATCGAAAACTCTTTTAAACATAAGGGCCTCTGCCATCGTAGCGTGCTTCGTGATTCTTTCTACAAAATCGCACGTGCTGTATATCTTTTCTATTGTCTCCTGAGCTTTCTGGCCGAGAACATTCAGCGAAATCTGTTTTGCTGAAAACACACTTTCGAGTTCTTTCAAAAGCTCCTGTTTGCGCTCTTCAATCATTGAGCGATAGAACTGGAACGTGTCGTTTATCTCGTTCTGTGCCTTGTGGTACTGAACCTGGAGGCGACTCGACGTGTGTTCCAAGTTCTTCAAAGTGTTACGGATGTCGGTGGCTTTACCCTTTCCTTCCTGCATGGTCTGAGTCATCAATTCCAGCTGCTTGGGGCCAATCTCACTCAAGTGTTCATAATCATGAAGTCCGCTTGGGTGCTCCAACAGTGTGCACTCCTTGCATATCGGTCCATTGCAGGTGCGACAAAAATATTTCAGGGGCTCCGCCTTGTGCCGCATGCAGTACACTGGTTTGTCTACACCGTTTCCTCCACTAGAAGAAATAAGTCCATTCTTCAGATCGTCCTTAATTCCGCCATTCTGTTGCAATTCTCCCAGGCTCAGAACCCGATGACCCTCGAAACAGTGCATGAATTGATGCGCCATCATACAGTTGGGACACAGAAAATTATCGCAGTCCAAACAGCGCGCAACCGCGTCAGATTCTCTGCTTTTACACCCCGTGCAGTGAGGAAGATTTGACGACGACGACGACGGCTTAAAACCTTCGCTGGGCACTAAAGCGTCAATGTTGTTTTTAACACTGAAATCTGTGATCAGGGCAGATATTCCTTGCGAAGTAAAAATACACTCTTGCTGGCACAAGGAGCAAGTTAACTTGTCGGAGTTCTCTTGGTCCTTCTCAAGACACGGGTGACAGAAAGTGTGGAAACAGGGCAGAACTTTGGGGTTGGTGAATGTCTCATTGCACAGTCCGCACTTGGAATTGATAACACCCACGCCGACGGGAGTCACAGTAGTCGAACTATTAGAACTGCTGCTGCAAGAAACCACGGGCGAAGACAGCGGCGAATCGACAAGGGGCGACAGCGAACGCAGTTCAGTTTGGTCAACCAATGATCCAATCGAATTTGCTCCAGGCAATGAATCCAATGATGGAGTTGGTGAAGCCATCTTCAATCAAACGTCATGCCTGCGAATGCACAGAAACAAAAATCGAGTATTACCACATGTTCACATTCAATGGCGGGTCAAGGAAGTCATTTCTTATTGAATGAATGTCGTCTATGAGTTAGGGGACGAACATATCAATGTTGTCTGCAACTGCGCGTACTGAAGTACCCACCTAAATTAACACGGAAAAAGGAAAACTGACATGTTACCAGACATAAACCGCGCCCTTCCAGGAAGAAGGAAGACAGTTTAGTTACACGCAGAACACGAAATATTAACATCACATTCTCAAATAAATAAATTCACTGCATGTTCGTCAAATCCACATGAAAAAAATGGCATACGTCGACGTCGAAACGAAATCTCTTCTCAATATGAAGCACGTTCTACGTCGGAGATCAAGGTAAGGTATGGCGGTGAGGATAAGTACTTGAACTGCATACACCTTCAATTACTTTCAGTCCCAAGCACGACTTACGCGAGGAACGGAAAGGTTAGGCTTCCACTGAAACGATCCAGAAGTGCGTCGTTATCAGTTACCTTCAGCACAGCACGTTCCCCTCGCGGACGTCTTCAAATAAGTTCTGCTGGTATTTATTCAACGAAGGAATAAAACCTTCGTACATCAAATTTGTCACTTCAAATGTAAGCCAGATTCTGGAACGCGAATGCGCGTACAATCATCAGCAAAGCAGAACGTGAAGTTTTCAACGGGCGGTGTACTTCAGGATGGCTGTACGTATAGCAACGATTCCGAGGAACATACTACCTCCATTTTCAGAGTCTGAGGGTGTAAGATGGGAAGGTTATTGGGCAAAAAATGATGGCCGATGCAGTTCTCCCAAACTCACGGGGAAACGCGAGGAAACGAGTGGATTAACATATCCAATGAATCTGATTGAAAGCCTAAACAAATCATTCAGTATAACTTTATTGCACTCACAATGAAGGGCTCAACCTATTGCTAAATCTCTAGGTCTTACGTCATGACAAACGCATTGCCGAAGAAATTAGTGCATTCAGAATTCTAGCTGGGACTAACTTCCCAGAAATGTTCATAACACTGGGAGTATTCAGTTTTTTTTAAGAACACTGAACCAACTTTCTTTGAACTTCAAAAGTTTAGGACCTGTGCCAGGATCATATGACAGCTGTAATGAATCGCTGGTCTCCACAAAATTGTGGAAAATTTTGGCCATCTCAGCGAGTATTAGCATCAATTTAGTATTGCTACATGAGGTCAATTATCAAATATATGCACCCACCACATCCTCGAATCCTTCTACTTAACTTTTTCTAAGTCCACTTTCCGTTCTTACATGTAAATAAGAGGCAATACTTCAATGATAATCGCTCAAGTAGTCAAGAAATTCCAAGTCGTTCACAAGATCCCACGAATGGGCCTTATCCTAAGCCAGCTGAATCCAGTCCACACCTCCAAATCCTTCCACAAAGTACAGAGAGTATGCGTCGTTACGAAGCAACCATCAATATACACAGCATTTCCATGACGAGAGTAATTCATTCTCGCCAGATGCTACCGGCCATAGCGTGAAATTGTCGACGTAACAACATAAGCTTCGACTCATCGCCCGGGAGACCCCCAGAACGCTAGGTAAAACGTACAATGACTCCACGAATGTGATTACCCAAGCTTTATTCGGTGGTCCAAGCACAGGAGGGCGACAGCCAATCACAGGCGTAGGCCAAGCCGTTTTATACCAGGAACACATCGATACCCCCGATGTGACGTCAGAACCTGTTGCCAGGGAGACCGGCGGAAGGCGGGAGAGTTTGTTTTGCAACCCACACCGAGCCCGCGCACCCATAAGCAAGCAGCTAGAGTCACCCTGGACGCCCACGCGTTTCCTGGTCCGACCATAGCACATTTCACGCTCCCCTCAAACCCCCTTGCTCAGGATATTGAGTTGTTTATTTCCTTTAATGCCCGCCAGGGTTCAGTCCAAACCCTGCGACAGATGACAGGCTACCCGGGTGCGGTTCCATATATTCGATTACGTTCTGTGTGAAAAATTTCTCCATGAGCGCTATTATAGGGGATAATCATCTTCTATGGCGCAACAGCCCAAAGTCGAGCCTTCGCCGCCTCCTTTCGGAGGTTTCCTGGACTTAAAGTGTGCGTTTACGAGTACCGAGTTACAAGCCCCACTGCCTCTGCACAATTTCAACTCAGTCCTGATCTGTCTACTAGAGCCATCTAGTAGCGAATCAGCAGAGACTCAGGTGAGAAAAGGCCGCTGAATTTTGCTTACGAAACATCTCGTTTCATGGTCGTAAGGTAAATCTACGACATGGGACCGAAGGCTTTACTTCCCCTCCGAAGGCGGTAATCAGACAGGCTAATCAAACAACCCGCCCGCATACAATTGCGACAACACTGAAGGGAAATTCACTTTAATTAATGCACATAATTATGACGACTTCAACGCTGCACAACAATCAGTGCAATTTTATGCTAATTTCATACGTATTGCACCAACAATATTTTAGGATAAGTGAGATTTCATGTTCTTACGTCGGCAAAGTAGAAAGTTGAGTCGTCTAGCTCAGTGGTATTTAAACTTTTTTTGTTCGCGTACCCCCAGATACAATTTCTCTTCAACTTTGTACCCCCAAAGTTGTTGGTGTATAATTCAAGTTATACATAATATACAATCTACATCTAAAATAAATTAAATAAATTACATTACTGATTATTCAGTGTTTATCATAAAATAATATATATATATTTTTAAATTTCACGTACCCCCTAAGATGTCTTCGCGTACCCCCAGATATAATTTCTCTTCAACTTTGTACCCCCAAATTTGTTGGTTTATAATTCAAGTTATACATAATATATAATCTACATCTAAAATAAATCAAATAAATTACATTACTGATTATTCAGTGTTTATCATAAAATAATATATTTTTTTTTAAATTTCACGTACCCCCTAAGATGTCTTCGCGTACCCCAGGTTGAATACCACTGGGCTAGGTTACTGCACCGTGTACTCTCTCGCCTTGACGGTGAAGGCAGTAGGCATCTCCGAAACTTACGTCAAAACAACATGTCTCAACATCACAAAGACTGGAGATTTCTCGCTATCTTGAAGTAAACGCACGACAGTTCGAGAATTGTCTCTCTATTCCAGACTTCGATTTGTTGTCATGGTATTGACAGTTTTATCTTTTTTTATTTTGATATTATTGGTTGACAGCTGGACAGAACGCGGATTATCCTGAATACTAGAATAGTAGGATAACCACTAGGTACATGGCGACAGATCCTGCTACCAAAACGACGTTATCAAATATTTATTCCTTACAAAACGGATGAAGGAACAACCGAATTGCCTCTATCACAAACCTTGCGTGAATTCTCCGACGTAACTCAAGTCTCAAATAAAATCTTGTAACACGGATTGAAAATGTGTATTCCTAATGCGTTCTTAGTGACACGTGGCAGGCGATGACGTCACTAGGTTCCAATAATGTCGCCCAACAGAGCAGCAGAAACTTCCATTTGTGTGCTTAGACGAACGCGCTCAGTTATTAAATGTTATATAAAAAAAAGTCACCCGCGTAATGGGACAGTTTCCTCCACAGATTACAAATGTCGCACGTACGCAAAGCTAAGCAACGAATGGAGAAAAAAAGACATCAACATCCCATTCAGAACAGTGCTGCTGACGCGGGCGGATAAGGAACTGTGCGCGATACAGGAAAGGCACTTGCAGCAAGGAACTCCAGCGTGTTATCGGCCACGCCCATGTTAAGCAAAGCTGGTCGGACAGGCACCCAGTAGCAACTAAATCTACAGCCTCCCTGTGTTCTGCTCCTTGTCACTCGTGAATACTAATATTATCTTCCAAAAAAAAAAAAAAAAAAACTATGTTATCAGACACTTTCAATCCACGTTCGTGCCTAATTCAGTTTTCGAACAGCGCATCTGAAAATCTTCGTTTCCTCGGACAAAGACCAATTTTCTGCGCCCGGAGGGACGGTAGAATTATAGTGTTTTCGTACATTTCACAACCAGAAAAGAATACAAATTAATGACTTCTACAAATCACAAGACGCTTTTGAGTACACTTCATTTCTGCGATAAGGGGAGGTCAAATTTCAGTTACTCGAACTGAATAGGAGGAGAGCCCTTATTATTTGTAGCCCCTGGTTCGTTTATCACGTGTTACCATCACCAATTTAAAGTCAAAAAAAAAGTTCACATACGAAACGAACCAAAGACGACCTTTTTGGGGGGGGGGGGGGGGGGGGGCGAAGCCCACATACACAGAGAACTGCAAAAGAGTCTCCACATCAGTGTACGGAGACTAGCAACTTCTCAAACGAATGCGGGCTCTTCCAACAACAAACGGCCCCCATGTCCTGAAATAATTTCGAGACGCCATGTGGGAAGATGAGTCCACAATGGCCTACACAACAAAAGAACTGTATAAGACGATTATATTCCACCACGTCATAGCGCGTCTGGCACCTGACGCCATGATGTACGGAAATCACACACACGCAAAATCTTCGACGTTGTGCCAAGGACTCCGCTGATGAGTAGCTTAAAGTTTTAACACCTTTCGTGCAATGCCCTTCTTCTTAAAGACTAAAGAGGACTTCTAACACCGACTTTTCAGCGACGAAACCCTCAAGACAGTGACCTGTTGAATCACGACAGTACAAATGTAATATGAAAATAATTAAACTTACTCAGGATCGTGTTCAAGACGGGGGAAGGACACATGATTTTGTCAAAACACCCACCTGGGGGATTAGAATACAATATTCGGATGGTTCTTCGGAAAACAGTACCGAATTATCAATCTAAAATCCACTTCCTGTTCAACATCGGTCTTTTACATCAACAGTGCGAAATCTCTGGTTTCAATAACTAAACCTGGCGTCAGACGTTGACGTAGGAGGAGGAAAACAATTTTTAACCTTACATTTAATTTTGAATCAGTGCCAATACATGCAGGGTGCAGACACGTCTGATCGTTCAAC